AGAGAGAAGTAATCACCGCTAAAAAATATGCATGTAAGTCATGGGGGTGCGTGCACATTAATGACTTAGCGGATTTTGGGATGTCGGTCTCATCACCTCAGCGCGCCACTCAGTAGTCGTCTGGGCTCCCCTCCCGCCCAAGCCCTTTCGAGAGGGACAGTAATGCCTGGATGATGTGTGAAGTTTAACTGCGGAGTTCGAGCTCCGCGCCGTCTTCCCATCTCGGATCCGAGTCGCTTAGACCAGCGAGTGCAGTAGAGAGAAGTAATCACCGCTAAAAAATATGCATGTAAGTCATCATCATGACCACCACCAACATCATCACCAACACCACCGTCACCACCAAGATGAACATCATCATCACCATCATCACCACCACCATCACCATCATTATCACCATCGCCATCGATAACACCACGACCACCATCATCATCATCATCATCATCAGCAGCATCGCCATCCTCATCGTCACCATAATCATAAGCATACGCATCATGACCAGACCATACTCACCACCACTACAATCATCATCACCAGCATCACCATCATCCTCATCATCATCATCACCATTCTCATCATAAGCCTCAGCACCGTCTGCACATCATCGTCACCATCACCTCCCACAATCACCATCGTCATCATCACCGTCATCACCAGTAGGCGTCATCAGCATCATCACCACCACCATCAGCAGCAACGTCAACACCATCAGCATCATCATCATCATCATCATCATTCTCACCATCGACATCAACATCAACACCATCACCGTCACAAGCATCACCACCATAAGTGGCATCATCACCATACTCATCAGAATCATCCTCGTCATCGTCATCATCATCACACCATCATCATCATCATTATCGGTGTCATCACCACCATAATCTCCCACAGTCACCATCACCATCACCTTGGTCATCATCAGTACCATCGTCATCACCACCACCAACAGCAACATCTTCACCACCACTATCACCGCCGGCATCAGCATCATCATCATACCCATCATCAACGCATATCACCGCCACCACCATCACCAGCATCATCGTCATCAGTATCACCATCGCCATCGACAACACCATCAGCAAGAGCATCATCAGCATTACCATCATCATCATCACTGTCACCATCATCATTATCTTAATCGTCACCACCACCACCATCCCCATCAGTGCCCTCACCAGCATCATCCTCCTCAGCATCATTGCCGTCATCAGCATCACCATCACCAGCATCATCACCACCATCTCCCACAATGACCAGCGTCATTACCATCATCATCAGTATCGTCATCAGCATCACCTTCATCACCACTATCAACAGCAATCTCAACACTCCGTGGGCACCACACTCACCATCATTATTACCATCACCGTCGCCATCAGCAACAACATCATCATGGTCACAATCACCACAGCTATCATCACCGTTATTTGTTGATCATCATCATCGTCATCATCGTTATCGCCATCACCATCATCGCATCACCATTATCGTCATAATTTCACAAGCACCATCACCATCATCACCGTCATCAGCAGTAGCATCATCAGTGTGACCGCCATCAGCATCAACAGCAAAATCAACACAATCAGCACCACCACCAACATCATCATCATCATCACCATCATCACTACCCGCATCATCATCATCACCATCACCATCGTCATCGACAACACGATCATCCGCATCATCATCATCATCGTCACCGTCGTCATCATCATCATCATACTCGTCACCACCACCACCTACACCACCATCGTCATCCTCAGCAGTGGAATCATCATCACCCCCATCATCACCATCACCATGAACATCATCCCCATCAGCATCACGCCATCACCGCCTCCCACAATCACCAGCATCATCACCGTCATCATTAGTAGCATGAGCACCATCATCACTATCAGCAGCAACATCAACACTATCACCACCACCATCATCATCATCAACACCATCGCCATCAACAACATCGTCACCGTCACAATCATCATCATCATCATCATCATCGTTATCATTATCAGCATCATCATGATCATCGTCATCGCCACCATCATCATCGCATAGTCACCAGCATAACCATCATTGCCTTCACCAGCATCATCTTTCACAATAGCCATCGCCATCATCACCGACATCATCATCGCCAACATCAGCATCAACACCACCAACATCACCACCAGCATCACCATCATCATCACCATCAGCACCACCACCATCATCATCATCTTCATCACCTTCGCCATCGCCATCGACACCACCACTATCATCAGCATTACCATCATCATCGTCATCATCGTCTTTGCCGGCAGCATCATCATCAGCATCATCACCATCGTCGTCATCATAATCATTTTCACCACCATCATCATCACCAAATTCCTCATCACCACCATCACATCATCACCTTAAAAATTTCTCACACTTACCATCATCATGATCGCCGTCATCTTCAGCAGCATCAGCACCATTATCACAACCATCAGCAGCAACATCAACACCATCATCTCTCCCAATGTCATCGTACGTATCACCATCATGCTCGCCATCAACAACAGCACCACCACCGTCACAATCATCACCACCATCATAACCATCACTATCACCACCATCATCACCATCATAATCATCATCGTACTCGACCTTACAATCAACATCACAATATCATCGTAATCCCCGTCATCACCTTCGTCACCTCGAACGATCCCCATCACCATCATCACGGTTACCATAAGTAGCATCATCGGTCTCATCACCATCATCACCACCACCAAGCCACCAAATACATCATCATCACCGTCACCACCATCACCCACCATCATCAGCATCGTCATGATCACCACCACTATCATCGCCATCACCACCATCATCATCAGCACCAGTATCACCATCATCACCATCATCATCGTCAATCAGGATCGTCATCACCACCACCATCACCAGTATCATTAGCATCATCCTCATCATCATGACCATCACCATCATCACCATCATCATCATCCTTATCATCATGACCATTCACATCACCATCACCAGCATCTTTCATTATCACCATCATCATCGTCATCATCATAACCGTCACCGTCATCACCAGCGGCTTCGCCAGCATCGTCACCATCAACTTAATCCCAGCAGCATCATCACCACCACCATCACCATCATTATCACCATCACCACTGTCATCACCAACAACACCATCACCGTCACAATCATCACCATCATCACCACCACAATCAGCATCATCATTACCACCAGCATCCACCAGCACCATCATCTTCATCATCTGCACTATCATCTTCACCGTCATCCTCACCAGCATCATCATCATGATCAGATCATCACCACCATCGTTCGCAACCACCATCGTCATCATCATCATAACCGTCCCCGTCATCATCAGAAGCATCACCATCATCACCATCACCATTATCAACACCAACATCAGCACCATCAGCATTACCACCATCATCATTATCACCCCCACCATCGCCGTCAACGACACCACCATCACCGTCACAACCATCACCATCATCAGCATCACCATTATCATCAGCACCACCACCATCATCATCATCACCATCATCACCACCACCACCACATCAGCATCTTCCAAAATCACCACCGTCATCATCATAATCATCACCGCCTTCAGCAGTAGCATCCCCAAAATCATCATCATCACCACCATCAACTGCAACTTCATCATCATCATCATCATCATCATCACCATTATCACCATCACTATCGCCATCAACAACAACATCATCACCGTCACACACATTACCATCATCACAATGATCATCACCATAATCATCATCACCATCAGCACCACCATCATCATCATCACCAACCTTGGCATCATCCGCATCGTCATCCTCACCACCATCAGGACCATCACATCATCAGCATGTTTCGCAACCACCATCATCATCAACATCATCATAACCGTCACCGCCATCATGATCAGCATTGCCAGCACTGTCATCACCACCACCATCAGCAGCAACATCAACACCATCCTCATCATTATCACCATCTCCATCGCCATCAACAACAACACCATTACCGTCACAATCATCACAACCATCATCACCACCAGCCACCATCATCATCATCATCATCCCCATCCTCATGATCATCACATAGTCAGCATCTCATCATCATTAGCATCATCAGCACCGTCATTATTACCACCACCACCGTCATCATCACCATAATCATCATCATCAGTATCACCATCACCACCGCCATCAACAACAACACCACCACCACCACACGCATCACCATCATCACCATCATCATCATTACCATCACCAATCACTGCCACCATAATTATCGTCATCATTAACATCATCATAATTATCATTATCATCGCCATCACTATCATAGCATTATCCATCTCGCACAAGCATCATCATCAACATCATCATAACCGTTACCGTTATGATGAGTAGCATCGTCATCACCACCACAATCAACAGCAACATCAACACCATCATCATCACCACCATTATCACCATCACCATTACCATCGCCATCAACAACAATACCATCACCGTCCAAATCATCACAATCACCACCATCATTACCATCATCACCAGCACCATCATCTTCATTATCATCCTCATCCTCATCATGACCATCAAGTCACCATAATATTGCACAATCACCTTGACAATCATCATTCGCGTCCCCATTGTCACTATCATCACCAATATCACCACCATCATCATTATCAGTATCACCATGACCATTGCCATCGACAACAATACCATCACCGTCACAATCATCACCATCATCATCATCATCATCATCACCACCATCACCAATCACCACCACTACCATCATCATCACCATCACCATCACCACCACCATCGCCATCAACAACAGCATCACCGTCACAATCATTACCATTATCACCATCACCATCATCACCTCGCCGAGCACCACCGCCACCATCACCCATCATCATCACCACCATCATCCACCCTCTCCCCGGCTCGAGGCGCGGGGCCCCGGGGGCGTCCGGCGGCCGGCCGCCCTCTGCGGGGCGCGCGCGGGCGGCCCATGGCGAAGCGGAAGCTGAAGAGGGCGGCGGGCCCCGCCGGCAAGCGGGCTGCGGGAGCGCCAGGGCGGCCTGCGCGGGCCGCGGTGGACGCGGCCGAGGACGAAGGGAGGGAGGGGTGCAGGGGAGGAAGAGATACCCGTACCGCTGCTTGTCCTCGTCGCCACGGCCAGTTCTTTGGAGAGGTCCGGGGATCAGCGGTATCGTTATCTTTTGGTCCCCCCCGAGGCGGGGGGAGGGGAGGAGGGGAGATTGGGGAAGGGAGGATGGAGGAGGGCGAGGTTGGAGAATGGAGGAGGGTGGGATGGAGGATGAGGGGAGATGGAGGAGGAAGAAGCTTGAACCCCGAAATCGCCGCCAAACCCGAAAACAGGGAGGGGTCAACCCGAAACCCGCGGAGGGGCGAAACCCGAAAATTCGGTGGGGTTAAACCCGAAATCACGAGAAGGGGTAAACCCGAAACCGCAAGGAGGTGTGATCCGAAATTTGGGGTGGTTCGGCTTGGACTGGTGGGAGGTTAGGGGCGACTGGGCCGGGAGAGGATGCGCGCCGGCGGGCGGGCGTGCGGGCGGGCGCGGGCGGGCGGGCGGGCGGGCAGGCGCGTGGGCGGGCGGCGGGCGCGCGCGCGCGCTGGAGGGCGGGCGGGCGCGCGGGCGTTCGCTCCGCAGGCGCTGCCACGTGGCGGGTGCAGTGGAGCAGTACTTGTCTCCCCCTCCGAGCGTTCTCACGTGGCGAGGCGAGGAGATTGGAGTAGTATTTGTTTCGCTCTCCCAGCGTGCTTCTCCGTCCCGCAGGCGTGACCACGTCGTGAGGAGAGCGGAGTAGCATATATTTCGCCCCCCAGGCATTTGCCACGTGGCGAGTAAAGTGGAAAAGTTCCAATGCCCGCCCCGCAGGCTTGACCGCGTGCCGAGAAGAGGGACGAGGGAGGAGGAGGGAGGAGCGAGGAGGGAGGAGGGGCAGGAGGCAGGAGGGAGGAAGGAACAGGGAACAGGAGGACGAGGAGGAGGAGGAGGAAGAGGAGGAGCAGCAGGATGAGGAAGGAGGAGGGAGGAAGGAGGGAGGAGGCAGGAGGCAGGGGGGAGGACTAGCGCGACGAGGCAGGAGCCAGGAGGAGCAGGGAAGAGGGAGAAAGGAGGAGCGAGGGCAGGAGGGTGGGAGGTGTGGGAGGACGAGCGAGGAGGTCGAGGAGGAAGTTGAGGGAGGACGGGGAGGTGGGAGGAGCGGAAGGAGGACGAGGACGGGGACGAGCGAGGATGCGAGGTGGATGGCGAACGAGTAGGGGGAGGAGGGGGTCTGAAGGAGGAAGAGGAACGCAGCGCAATGCAATGCAACGTATTGTGCGGCTGTGCCCCAAACAAAGAATTGCTGCAAGGTTCTGGGGTGTGCATCCGAAGGGGGGAGAAGGGAAGGGGGACGAGGAGCAGGAAAAGGAGGAGGAGGAGCAGGAGGAAGAGGAGGAAGAGGAGGAGGAGGAGGAGCAGGAGGAGGAGGAAGAGGAGGAGGAGGAGCAGGAGGAGGATTCTCTTCGGGGACACCCGTTAATATTGGAACGACACAGAGAAGATTAGCATGGCCCCTGCGCAAGGATGACACACAAATCGAGAAGTGTATACAATGTTTGGTCCTTCGTCTCGGGCAGGCAGCACCAGGCAGCTCTCTTTCTGGAAGACGATCTTAGCTCGCTTCCAGGACTTGATCGGGGCCTCCATCGGGTCGGACACAGAGGATAGACAACTCAGGAGGCACAAGTTCGGGGCCATGATCCAGTCCATGGTTCTCTCGACAGTCCCCTGCGTGGTACCCCAGGCGGCCCAGGGTGACTACATGGAGCTCTGGGTGGGTGTCAGCACCATCCTGATTCTGGACCTCGATGGGGTCTGCATTGCAGCTGTGCTCTGCAAGCGTCTTCGGGATCTGGCGGACCAAGTGGCCTACCGCGAAAAGCAGAAGGGCTTCCAGCAGTGGCTCCAAGACAGCCTCAAAGGGGGGGCCAAGTAGGCCCATCACCATACCAGGACTTGGGGCTTGCCAGAGCCCTCCCCGAAGATCGACGGCGACACCTCGGGAGCCCCCTTATGTGGCCCCAGCGAATCCCTGGAGACCAATGCACGAAGGTGGAGCTCGCTGTGGACTGACCCTCATGGGCAAGGACAGGCTTTCGAGCAGGACCGGTGGCGCACTTTCAGGCAGGAAGCCCTCGAGCCCATAGAGACCTTGCCGCCGCTTGACCCTCAGCAGTTGCTCGCCGCGCGCCGCTGCTTTCCTGTCAGCATGGAGAATGGCGCCCGCCAGTGGCACCCCCAGCTGTGGGCAGATCTTCCCCCAGAGGCCATCAAGCCTTGCTGGGCCTCCTCGCGCCCATCGAGGCTCCGTGCAGATGGCCAGCCCAAGTGCTTCTCAACGAGGTGGGCCTACACTCTAAGCCTACAGGAGAAGGTGGCCGACCGATTGCCCGAACCCAGAGCTTGCGCCGTGTCTGGGGCCGACTTCGGAAAGATCCTGTATCTCAGTGGGCGGGCTTCTGGGGCGCCGCGGTTCGAGGATCGGGCCCCCTGCGTGTTGCTGTGTTTAGACTTGCCCGTGCCGAAATTGCCTCGCGGATCGATTGCGACTGGGCCCTTGTGCGCCTGGATGCCGAACAGTTGTTCGACGCGCTGGTCCGTTCTGGATATGTTGCCTAGGGAAGCAACTCGAGCACCCTTGGCATCATGTACCTCGGCATGGCCATGCGCACCGCCGACAGAGTTTCAACCGTGAGCGCCGAGGCGTCAATTTTATCCGCGTGGGCCGCTCTAGTCTGCAGGGCCGTCTTCAGTCAGTTGCCTGGGCTAGGGTCTACCTATTCTAACTGGTGGAACAGACGCGTGCATGGACCGCCCCATGGAGCTCAGCACCCGCGTAGATGGCATCAGCATGCTGACCCGTGGCCCCGAACCCATTGTTTCCAACGCCGCGGTTGCCCAGTTCTCGCCCAAATCGCAGCTGCTCGCCAGCTCACTCAGGCCGACTGCTCAGGCAGTTCCACCATGGTCTGGAAGCGGCGCGTGTCCACGTTCAGGTTGCCACTAGAGCCTGGGAGCTTGGAGTGGATTTTCCCCGCCGCAGAGGAGATCCACTGCAGTGGTAGGTACAGGAATGACACAACCGAAGTACGAGCGAAGCGAGTTCGAGGTATCCAGAATGCCATCAAGCAGGCCCCAAGACTGGCCCTCGCGGGGGTCGAGCCCCAAGCCGCTCGGGGGCTTTCCGGGCAAGGGGAGCTCAGGGGAGCCCAGGGCCACCATGGCCCCCCTCACTGGCGCGCGTCGAGCAGGAGGTCGCGCTGCGCTCGCGAGTCTTGGAAAGAACGGGGTGCCACTCTTCTTCGGGCGCGTGGGCCTCCTGAGGACCTGGGCCGCCATCCCGCCGAAAGCTTATGGCCAAGTGAGTGGCCCTAGAGGCCGCCCGGGAGAAATTCCCAGCAGTCACGAAGACGGCCATCGGCCCCTGGAACAAGGTCAAGGGCCCCACGGGGGGCGTCATCGCTGCCTCTGCAGGCCAACGGGGGCCCCAAGCTGCCGCGGGCGCGGGCCGACTACGTGGGCGATGTATTCAACCTCCTCCACAACGAGGCCGCCGTGGACAGGGCCCCGTTCTACCTCGAGACCCCCGGGGGTTCCAGCAGGCGCGCGCTGCGTTATCTCTGAGCTCGAGGCCACTTTCGAGCCCCGCATTCGGCAGAGGCACGGTTCGAAGCACTTGTTTGGAAAAAGGGTGCGAGGAAGGAGCGGGCCTCGCGGCGACGCAGCAGTTGCGTCCAGAGGTTCGGCGAAAACGCCAGCCAGGATATGCCAACTTTCTGGAACTCCTCGGGGCGGGTGCGCGGCGGCCAGGGGCCAGGCCTGTTCCCGACGACCCAGATGACCAGACGTGCCCCAGGCGCGGACAGCCGCAGGCCCTCTTCCACCATCAGCGGGAGCGCACCCCACATCGCCCCGCAGGAAAGTACCGCTTTCGACTTGGTAGGACGAGCCGCAGCTGAGCGCGAGGACTGGCCGTGTTTCTGGCTCCCGGGACCGGCGACGCCAGGGCGGGCGCGTAACATATGTGACCGTTGGGCGGAGTTCAGTTTCGCGGCGGACTGGGGCCTTGCGCATCAGCACATATTCGACTTGAGCTTGTTTTTTGTTTAGACTCCGGCAAGTTTGCTTGCGTGCACCGGGGGGGGGGGGCTGGGCCCGAAGCAAGCCGCGGGCGACTTGCGCGTTTTTTTGTTGGGGGGGGCGCGCGTGCTCCGCGCCTCGCAAGTGCAAGGGCGGCTCGCGGGAAATTGACGATGCCCGAAGCGATGCGTCGGGCGGCCTCCGTGCCCGGGCCCCCAAGTCTGGCGTTATCGGAGCAGTTCGAATGGATTTCTCAGCCTCTCCAGGGGGGGGGGGGCGCCAGGAAGGGTTGCGCGGGCGCGATCGCACCCAGATGCTTGGGATGTCTCAAGCGGCTCGCTTGTCTCGGGCCCCGACATCTTGAGATTTCGGAGCAGCGCGCGAGGATCAGGCGAGGCGCTGGCTTTTTCGCAGCCCGGGCGCGCGTTCATATCAAGTTGTGAGGATGCCTCTCAGGATGTGCCATGCGAGGCGCTTGCCTCGCATGATCATGCTGATGAGAAGTTGCACGCGCGCGTGCACGCGCGTGCATGCGCACGTGCGCAGGCTCATGCGCGCACGCACGCACGCACGCACGCACTCATGCGCGCCGAACTTCCTACACGCAGAAGCAGTAGACCCCCCATGCATGCACGTTCACAACAACATATATTCACACATGTGTATACGTACAGGTGCACATGAACGTGCCCATGCGAGCGCCGCCAGAAACGATGAAAATATTTCGGGGTCGAGGTTTGGGGGGGGGGGGGGGCGAGCAACGCAAAGTAGTGCAAATCCGCAGGAGCGCCTGAGCACCAGAACCATTCAGAGTGCAAGTTCGGGACCATGAAGCCACAATTTCTGGCGAGTCCATGCCGTCGGGGCTACGGTGGCGATCCATTAGGCAGACAGCTGCACATGACAGAAGACCCATCTTGAACCAAATTCATGCCCCAATGGCGCCTGGCACTTGC